CAAACTGCATTCGATGTGGCGGACGGGGATATGTACAAGTTCCTGGAAGAGCTCAAGCAGAAGCAGAACAAGGAGGAGGTGATGAACCGCCGACAGGCGAAGATGAAGCTGGAGGTTCTGGACAAGAACGCCGACAACGAAACGCCCAGCAAGGTTAAAAAGGTTGAGTTGGAAATCGAGGGCGAGAAAATCCACGCGGATATAGGTAAGACCTGACACGCTATTTATATAGAATATATAGACCGCTTAAGCCAAAAACCTATCTCAGGTTCAGAAAGTAAGAAAGATTTTACTATAAAAAAAAAAGACATCAGCAGCAGTAGTAATTTATAAATTCCCAAGTATTTATAGTGAATAAAATGTGCTTCAAGCTTGTTACTCTTTTCTTGCATTTTCTCAAATCGCATTCGTGTCGAATCAAATCGTATAAAACAATAGAGTAGAATCTAACAAATCATAAATGCCACCCCCTAATTAACTGAAAAAAAAAACATGTCGAAAAATTATAAAAGTGTGTTTATTGCATTTTCTCGCTGCCAAAGGCACTATGGAAGTCTCTAGTGAAAGTGAGACTGATTCAGAGAGCAGCGACGAAAGTAGTGAAACAGAATCAGAGGACGACTCAGATGGTAAAAAAGCAGTTTAAACATCAACACCACCACCACCAACCAACCAACCACGTTTTATTTTTGCCTCTCATCATTATTATTTATAATTTTCTTTCTATAATTTGTTTCCGTTCTTGTTTTTTTTTTGTGGTTACCACACACCCACCTTCAATTTTAGTTTATTTATCGTCTCACTATTATTATTTTGCTTTATCCATGTGTACAATTACTACAATTAATCCACGCACACTTTGTCCGTCACCAAAATATCGAAATGTGATACAAATGAATGCACTCGTGTTTTTTCTTTTACTTTGAATTTTGTTCACTTTTTTTCGTGCTATTCTGTGTTACGTGTTCGTTCGTTGCGACGTTTATTTATTGCTCTTTGGTTTCAGTGAAGAAAAACAGAGCCAACGCAATGTACGGGGTCATCTCGAGAACTCCGAAAGTTGCGGAAAAAGATGCTTCTCCGACTTCAACTCCGTCTCCACCGAAGGTCGACGTTACCGCCGAGGATAACAAAATTTGGCGAGTGCCAACAATCCAGAAGGATTCCACCCCAATTAAAAGCAGCAACAGCTTCAGTAAGTTACATTTCATTTACAGGTCATCACTGTTATATGTTCAAACGTTTTATAAAACTCATTTACTAATTCATGAATTTCTGTCTTACTGACTAATTCTTAAAGTACTATTTTATCCAATTTAAGTTTCATGTAGTATTATATAAATATTTAAAAAAGTATATTTACAATCAAAAATTTTTTAGAAATAATTTGATATAGATCAAATTTTATTAAATCTTTGTCATCAATCAAATATAGAAATTGTTTTTTTAGTATATACATTTAAGGAAAGTTTCTATGGTTGAAAAACATAATACGTTATGTTTACGGCTGATTATATATAATGATTTTCAATTGAAAGTAGTTTAAAAACATGAAATGCACGCAATGATATTTTTTTTGTCAACACGAACTTACTATTAATTATATAATTATGATAACTAATGATCGAAGTTATTAAATATTTTCATACGTATTATGAAGAATCATTTAAGTGATGTTAATGATTGTGTGTTGTTGCAGAGAGCAAAGATGCTAACAACGAGAACGAAGTGGTGCTCCGGAGGGCGAACAGTTTCCAAAACGATCCAGCGTGAGTATTGGCAAACTTTGAACTTTACTTCTTATAAGTCGGTACTTAAAAAAAAGAAACAAATAGAAGTACCGACACAGCTTTTTTTTTTAATTTATCGATTAAACAACTCCTTCGCAAAATGATCCGCAAAGCTTTAATACTTTCATAATCGATTAACAAAAAACAAAAACAAATTGAAACGAAAACAATGAGTGCGATTTAACAGATTTCTTTAACATGGCTTAACCAAACGTTGTTGTTCGTTTTCTCGAACTAATGATGATTAACGTATGCGATTTCGAGCTTTGACGCTTTTTGCTTTTCATATTGCCAGGGAGATACTATTTTTTTTTAAAAGACTATTCTATATTATTTTGTATACCATTTTTATGCTGTACTCTATTTATTGTTTGTATTTATTTATTATTCTCTCGGGTTGTTTTCATTACTTTTTATTGTTGGCTTGCGAATGATTTGATTTTCTACGAGTGATTTTTTTTTGTTGATTTTGGAATTTTGTTTACTTTCGTAGTTTACACAAATTGTTCGATTCTTATTGGGTTGTCAGGATTTTGTTTGACGTAACGTAATTGACGACTTTATACGTTAATTGTTAACGATTATAACAATTCCTTGGGCTATGAACTGCTCAACGTTGAGTTACTAACTTTTTATCTTCTCACTTCTATTTATTTATTTCTTCTTTGAGTGATGTCTTTACTTTTAAAGAAACGATTTTGTATTCAAATCGAAACTTGTATTTATTAACAACAATTTCTTAGTAGTTATTTCTCTACATGTAAACTAATTTTCTTCTCTGCGTTTGTAATCTTTCAATGTTTGTAGTAATACCTCTTTTTTTTGTTAGAACTACAAGAAAATCTAGTTTTAAATGACTAATTAGTGCTTACAGTGAAACTCGTTTATAGCGACTAACAGATTTCAAAGTATTTGCATTTAACAGAAGATTTACAACCAAATTAATAACTTTATTTCATTCACCAAGGTTTGTTGTTAATTTTTATGTTTTAATCGCGTAATCTAAATTAATTCCTGTTGAAGTTCAACATTTTTTTTATTTGCTCAGCTTAGAAAATGCAGACGTTTTAAAAACTACTTTTTTTTATATATCGACTTTCAAGTTCTTCTAAAATGTTACCCACTCAAATCGTGTTCTTTTGTATTCTTCGAAGACTTATCAATTTCTTGGTAGGAATATTAAAAAAGAAAAAGAGAATCATAACTGACAACCCTTCTTTTTTTGAAAATCCCTAGATTAATCTCTTCAAAATTTTCGATCCAAATGGATTTTTTTGTTTTGTTTATATATATTTTTTATGAAATTGAAAGTAATTGAACACAACACCCTTGAGAGAGTCCCTTGTCTGACTCAGATTGCTTGCATGTTTAGGTTCTACGCGCGATATAGGGAACTGCGCGCACGCATCCAGGCAACTTCCTACCCTAACTATATCACTAACTCCTATATCATACCGCCCTCTCCCAACAAGCGACAAGTCAGGTATGCACGTTAGTTAATACTAAATTTATTTTATTATACAGTATATACACCTAGTTATTAGTTGATTCAACTTCGTTCACGTTACAGACACGTTACAAAATACACAAATTAGATTAATATTAGATTTAACATTATATTTTCATACATATACACACAGAGACAAAGACACACGTATTATATAGTTATTATTGATATTATTATTATTTTGTTTTAATAATCGGAGGAGATTTTATTACACGATTTTCGGATGATTCGCTTGCTTCGCTTGCTTTAAATTAACAATAATCGAAGTTTTTTTTTATTATTTATATTTAATTTAATTATTATTTTTTGATTAATTCATTTCTCTACGATTTTAAATTTTATCTATATTATTGTATTTGATTATTTACTATCCGGGAAAACACATTTCAATCGTTCATAATAAATATATTATTCGATATTGCTGGAGGAAATCGAAACGGTTTGTATTGAACGTTGATTGGTTTTCAGGTCGAGCAAGGAGGAGTCTCCGGTTGAGGTCGTCAGTCCTCCGCCGCCGCCACCCAATGAGGCGAACAACGTCACCGTCAGTTCACCCGCCTCCAGTCCTCAGCCCAACAGTCAACCAGTCCGAAGGTATTTACCATTTTCTTTAAGCTTTATTCAGTTTTTTTTGTTTGCCGGGTGAGAGGTACGGATCAGTAATATTTTCTTTGTGGGGGGATTTAGTGGAGCGAAGTCACCGATTAACTCGGTCCAGGATCAACAATCCTCAACTAACGGTGTCGCCACTCCCACGGCAACGCCCGCCAACAATCGCCTCACTATGATTAAGAACTTCTTCAAGTATGGAAATAAGAGATTCAGCGTGTGTTGTTTTATTTGGTTTAAGAATATTCAGAGCATGCGCTATTTTCATATCTCTTTTGCGCTTTACCCCATTATTTGTTCGTCGTTAACAAATCTATTTAAGCTTCTTGCATTCTCAACAGTTTTCGTTTGGTTTTCTTTGAGGATGCAGTTGAGGTTGTTTTTTTTTTGAAAGCAGAGTACAACAGATTTCGTCAATTTTGCTATAGACATCGATTGAGTTTTTCGCAACACATGTTACTAACACCTATGTTCCTCTTTCATTAGCTTTCTGGTAAACATTCAAATGATTTTCGCTTATAATTTTTGATGAAGAATCGTCGTTTTTTTTCGTTGATGTGGAAATGTTTTGATTTTTTGTGTGTGCATAGATATTGATGATTGCGTTTGTTTAGGTCGTTCGTTCCTCCTGTCCGTGACGAGGAGAGCGAGACCCAGAGGAAGGCGCACGCGAAGAGGGTGAGAGAGACGAGGAGGTCTACGCAAGGCGTGACCTTGGAGGAAATCAAATCGGCCGAGCAGTTCGTGAAGAACAAGAACCAGACGACCGTCAACAATAACAACAACGAGCAACAGGTGATTGTATACCTCCACTCCACTTATATATTGATATCGATACTCTCTTCATATCATACTTTTTTTTAATTATTTATCTATTAATTAACAAGTGCTGGTGATGGGTTCATAATTTAATTTATATAAATATTTATCTAATTTTGCAACGCCCTCCTCGCCACGACACATTTTGCGAATTAATTCGATTAAACCCAGTGCTTACTTTTTTTTGGTTGTTTTTACCATTTTTTCTTTTGTTAAACCACGGTTAACAGCAGCCTAATGGTGCTAACAACGGGGTTATTGTGAGTGCTACGATAACGACGGCGGCGCCCACCGTACCGACAAGGGACGCCAGCGCCGTTTCCGTATCCGTTGCGGAAGCGACGGAGCCGCCCTCTGCGGCGCCGGTGGTGGCGGCTGTGGTGACCATACCGACACAGCCGCCTCCTCCGCCCGCCCACGAGAGGCGGCCTTCCTGGAGGCTACAAGTTGACAATGGCAATAAGGTAAGTCTCATTGGGATTCTCTCATTCTTTTTCTCTCTCTCTTCATCCGTGGATCCTGTAGACTTGATTGGGTTTCAGTAGATACTATTACACTCACAAAACAAACGCAAGATCAGAACACATTTCAAGCATTAATCAAGAGTTTGAACGATATGTTCTTACTATGAAGTAAGTAAATGACTACTCTGAAGTGTGTTCTGATCGAAGCTTTATGTTGTTTAATTTTTTTAACTTGGTGTGGTTAATATATTAATAATATTGTTCAATTTGACTTTTGTTTTTGTTTTACAGATCACGGTTTGTTTCCCTATTGTAGTGTTCTGCTTGTACTTACTGTTTCATCCTTACCTACTCATCATCTACTTATTAACTTTGTACATCTTGTGCCGTTTGGATTTGTTCAACTAACTGTTGTTTTTTTTATATTTATAATCGATGATTATAATATAAAGTTTATTTGGATAATATTTCTTAGAGTACAATGGAAACACGTAGTCTATATAAACATATAGGAGTAAACGCAGCAGTGTTTCTTAACTTGTCTGGTTTATTAAGCGATCGTATATATTTTTGGAAGGTTTAGAGTACATATATATATTTAGTTACCAGAGGTAGTAATTGTAGTTAGAGAGATGTGGAGTTCGGCCTAAATCGTTAAAGAATCACTGCTGCAAAGGCCCTTTACGCTAGGCAAGTATCGCGTACTTTAAATACAACTTATGCAAAGTATTTTCATTTTCCATTATGGAAGTTACACAATAATTAAATTATTGATTTTTCATATTAAGGCCCAAATTCAACTAGTACTTTTATTATCGTCAAGTACATGTTCTGTGCATCAACAAGTATTTAGCATGCGTGTTCATCCAACTAAATTCTTTTGTTTCTTAAGTTACAATCCTAGCGAAAAGCGGCCTTTACATACATATACTTTATAGTCGTAAATAATCTCCAATAGTATTTTCGTAATTTCTGTGATAGGTTTCGTAGTGTTTTCTTTTGTTTTTTTCATTATGCAAATACAGCCATGTTTTACCTGTATTCCAGAAAAAAATAATATTAACATTAAACTAAATCCAAAGATTCGCTAATCATCACGGAGTTTCTGGTAAAACAATTGCGACTTTGTTAAAAAATGTTGTAGCGTATTCTAGAGGTCGCTCTATTAGTTTCTAATGTACTATTATTATCTAGCTGTTATTCGTCACTTTAAGTATCAATGATTAAAGCATGCTGGTGTTTAGTGGGTTGCCTATGAAATATATTATACTTTACTCTTGGAATCGTCGATACTTGAAGGATCAATGATAGTAATTGATTTTTTGCTATTAATCGATTTATTGTAGAGCATTTTTTGATTTGTCTTTATTTTGATTTATTTTTCTCCTATGTTTAATAAACGCTTACATAACGCCTGCCGTTTATTTATTATCATCTCATGTTTACTTCTGTTATCATCTCATATAAATCTTGTTCATATAAATGTTGTCAAGAGTCGTCGAAAAAGATATTTATTTCAAATTTCATTACAATTTGCGTTACATATTCTTTCAACATCTTCCAAGATGTTCCATTTGACATTGACTCTGTTTCTCCTCTGTTTTTTTTTTCCTTCTCTTTCTCTCTCTATCGTGTGCATTTAATTGAATGCTACTTTATGGTAATGAATCTCAATTAGATTTAAATGGGTATAGCATCCGCAGTATTTTTTGTTTTTATCAAGTTGGCTCGTTGGGTCTAATTGGAGAGAGAAGAGAAGAAAGAGATGCGTCTGGTGTCCCCGGACTGTGTGATGGATTGCGATGTCTGATTGCGATCTTGTCGCTCTGCTTTGGTTTGTTTAGTTCAAGTTGGAGGATGCGAACAAGGTGTCTGAAGCCCCGTCCACGCCGTCCTTCATCAGGAGGCCCGCAAGCACTGGCGCTTCGGCGACGCGGCCCGCCTCCGCAACTTTGGACACTGCCGAGACGACGGTCACGTTGCCACTGCGTCGACCGAAATCACTAGATGAAAAAGGTGAGTTTTCAACATTCTTAACTTCTCGTAACTTTCGACTTACTCTGTTTTTTTTCTTCCGTAGAGCAAGACAAGGAGAACGATGTTAGGAACGCCCAGGCCACGCTCGCCACCCAAGCCGCTATCCAGCGCAGGAGAAGACCCAAGAGGAGGTCCACTGGAGTTGTGGCTTTCGACGTAAGTTCTGCTCGAATACTCATTCCTTTTTTTTATTTATTCTCACGGCACCCTCCTGGCCTTTGGGAACGGTAGGGTCGATACTGCCACTATTAACGTAATGCACGAACCCCCCGAAGACTAATATTCCTGATGTGACTCATTCTTATTGGATATTCTGAACTTTACGTGTCTATTTCCCACCGACTTCAATCTTGAATTAATAGAATATCTCTAATTTTGATAAGCAGATGGTGTTCCATCACTTTAGGAAGCAACAAATAATCTAAAAATCTACTTGAACATGAAATGAAATCTATTAGAAAGCAACAATTACAACTAGGCGACTAAATTTTGTAATTTATAAAGCACATATTTGGTTAACTGCTTATACCGCAATTAGTTACATTTCTCTGGTATCGTTGAAATCACTAACATTTAGTATACACATTTTTCGTTTATTTCGGTTTATACAATTTTCATAGGCGATTTACAAACATTTTATGCAATCATTATTTAAAAAAAAACATTATAATTTATGATTTTATTATTGATGATCCCGTTTTTGTTTTAGGACGTGGAAACGGAAAAGGATAGTTCCGGTGGAGGCGATTTCGATGACAACGCTAAACAACAAAATCATCAAGAGGTAAGTGCATAGCAGCAATTCATTTTTACGTGTCTCGAATTACGTGTGGATTTTCCATTAAGTCAATAAGGCACATGCCTAGGGGACTCCAAAATTAATTTGCTAAGGTGCCCCAACTATTCTTAATCCGCCACTGCGCTTCTGCATATAGCTGTCAGTTCATATTTATCGTTAATATTATTAGTGTAGTTGGTACAACTGTCATTCATGTTTCATTCCATACATAGTGTGGATGCAGCATTACAAAAATATTGTCTTTGTTCAAAATTAAATTGTCACAAGAACATATTAATTAGTTGACTATATAATCAAATTGGAATTCAATTAGTGGTATTGATTATTAGAATTGATCTGTTGAAATGAGCAGTTGGTCGTTTGATAGTTGTATATTGTGATTTGTTTATATGTTTATGAAATGTGTTATAAAACTAAAGCTGATGAATTGTTGATAATTGAATAATATAGAATTGTGATTGGTCTTTGCGTATAATAAGATGGGATGTTTATCTATTTTAATGAGTGTACGGCTTGTAAGAGCCTTCGAATTAATCACCGGAGCCTGAAGGATTTATTAAAGGTTCCGTTTGTAAACCATTTTTCGCGCTAGCAATACATTATCCTCTTAATTGATCAATTAATCAAAAACGGTTCGCGAATATTCGGCGTTTTCTTCTCCCGTCTCCGTCTCCCTTGCGTTGCGTACTGGGCGCGCGCGTTTTCGATCCGATGATGAGAGCACCTTTAATTTTAGAATTATGGTACTAAATATAGGAGCAGTTCGGTGCGCCAATCTCGTATCTTTCTCTCTTTCTTCCTCCGTTCCATGGATATTCTTTGCACGTAATGTTATTACAGAGTCATGTGGTTTTGTTCGTAGCATTCGCTCTTGTTTATTGCAACCGTAAGACGGACTGTCCATCCATCCATCCATCCGACCCATTTAACACGTCCATATTTATAGATCGTTAACAGGAGCTATGATTTACATCGACGGGATAATAACGAAAATAATCCCTTCCCCTCCCCCATACAGTCTCTCGCATTGGGCTTGAGGCCAAACTATTTACTACTCGTATCTGCGCTTGTTTGTTTTTTGTTGTTGCAGATATTTGTTGTTTGTTTAAAATGGGATGATGAATCGGTTTCCCTGTGAGGCACACGAATGCACGCATGCATGCATGCATGATTCGCGCTCGGGGTTGTGGATTTATGGACAGCCTCGTAAACTCGCAATTTATGCTGATCCTTCTCAGTCACAGCTGATTTTAGCTTGTCATCTCATAGTTGAGCGTGCAGTAAACTGCTTTGACACATGTGTGGCGGACGAGGAGGATTAACCTGATTTCTCGAATAAATGTTGCGCAAAAATTCTATCAAAAAATCACGGCTTGCATCGTGTGCGTAGTTTTCTAATTAGGGATGGATGCTGGAATAGTAGTCGTGTGTAGAGTGTAAATATTTAGTTGGAACCCAGCGCTGGGACGGAGCATCTGCGGAGGGTTATTGTATCCTAGAATTAATTTTATCGTAATGTTTTCCCGAAGTGCGCGTGTTTGTGGAAAGTTTGAAAATAGTACGCCCACGCAACCGAGAAGCCAGTTCAGCCTTCTTCTCTCCTTCCTTCGCCCCGTCCTTTAGCCTCCGTTTTAATAATAACAATGATAGAGGGATAGCTTGAATGAGAGGCGGCGGCAGCAGCAGCAACGGAAGATGCATTTTGTAAATCATGCGGATTGGAGGCGGTCCAAGAAAAGATTGTATATGCTTTTTTTTACAAGCGGGACGGCGAGAGAGCGCGCGCGTGTCCCGTCCCGTCCAGTTCGATCCTTTTGTTGGTCCTTGGACTACCTGAATAACAAACGCACGTGTCCTGCCGCCGCCAACGTACATGCATGGCCGATCTATTTGGGTGGTCGTCGTTCCCGATACCACCGAAATAATTCCTGATCCTATGTTTGTTTATTCCATTTCGATTCCTTGTCTCCCTGCACCAGGTACAATTTCCATCGGGTCCAACATCTCACCGCAAACAACACATATTGCAATGATCACAACAGTATATCTCATCTGACATGACAATAAAAAGATTTTGATGGCCAAACATCTTTAATATATTTGTCATAATTACATCAGGTTCTAATAATTTCTAGTCTACCCACTGAAATATGTAAACTCTAACTATAAAGTTTATGCGTTTTTATGTATTTCTACATTATTTCCAATACTTCTTTAAAAAAACAGCTGTTCTGCACTGATCGCATCAAATGATTCAACTGCATTACGATTCTTTCCTTCATTTTTACATTAAATAATTAATATCCATTGTTCACAGTTCTTTAAATGTTTAAAGCTGAATTCATAAAAAATATTCAAAGATTCTAATGTTCTCTAATTAACAAATTTCATTTGTTTGTCTTATTTTTCATTTTAACTATCGTTATTCATTTACTAAGTTAAATTGGAATTTTATTTAAATTTATTACATTTTGTATAAAGTTACAAATATTTCATTACTAAAACTTTGATTCAAAATTTCTGTTAGCAAAAATGAATATACATATTTATTTTTTTATTTGTCTACTGAAGAACAAATTGATGTTTTTTTTTCTATCTTTTAGTCTCTTCTGAAGTTTCTGATTTATGTTTTTAGTATAATTTTACGACGAGGATCATCTATGATTTAATGAATCAAGTTTGTTTAGAAAAACTAATTCTGTCTTGCTTTAAAGTTTTAGAAAGTGAAACAGATTTATGAAAAATATAAGTTCTACCTACGTATAAGAAAACCTTTAACTACTCGCGCGGTGTAAACCTTTCACTACTGCCAGACGGAGTGCATAAATGATTGTATTACGTCAAGAAAAAACTTTTTCATGTTAACTAATTCTTTTTTTAGAGAAATCTATTGTAACTTATGCAAGCACGAAATATTTCAGATCGTTTGTTCATAGTTCCAAAAAATGGGTATGATTCTGTTTCTCATGCAGAGCAAGAACGAACGTGCATAAAAACAAATTATTTGTGCCACAGTCAGCACAAGACTGCAGCAGCGTTTAACACATTGGGCATAACACCTATGGGGGAAAGAAAATATTGATGTGGTATCATTTCTTAGAACTTTAGTGTACTTTTACAAAGAAAATTATCTCAGTTTAACTAAATTTAAAAAGAAACTGAAAACTTTTAAATGTAGTGTTTCACCATAGACGATGTTTCGATATCACTTAAGGAGAATAAAAAAGAACTTGGAATTTTAAAAGAGTTTATAAATTTCTAAGCTTAGACATTTCAAAAGAATTCGAGGAATCGACGATCTTTAAGAATAATCTATTTATACTCCATTTCTTTTTTTTGATAATGTAATTATATCTTTAATCAAAGAAGTAATTGAATCGTGAATGCATATAACAAGTTATAATATATAGTTGAAATATTGATTGCGCTTTTATAATTATTATGCGAATGTAAGGATTATTAAAAGTGCATGTAAACAATCTCGCTTTGCTCCTTTCTATTTCCGAATTCTTGAGTAATTTGAAACTCTATTCTGAACATTGTCATAGGACACATTTCAAAACGGAATTCCAGGGCGATCTAAAAGTGTTCCCAAAAGAAATGTTAGGATAGTTTCAGGAATGCATTTATAACCCAGAAAACATAAATTGGCAGAATTATTGTCGAAACTAGACTTGTTTTATGCCGAGATCAAAATGAATTATAAATTCATGATAATAACAAATATGTTTAGTACATACAATTTAAGACTTTGACTATAAACTAATAAGTAGGAATGATCTGCAAATTGCATTGTACTATGTCGGAGCGTCTATTTTTTTCTGGATGAGTAATTGGAGCTTCTTATTCCCTTGAGTCCACATTGTATAAACAAACACCTGGCCGGACAAATTGCGGTCCTGTGTCTGGTCGTGCCAATTTTTTACTCTTTCACGTTCCTTACAAGACTATCCTAATTCCTATTAATAGTTACTTCTATCTTTTTTTTTTGCTGTGTGTAACACTTCTTCAAACAGTCACACGTCCGACCCACTTCTCTAATTAAGAATATGTTTTGCGAAATCCCCAAATCTGTCCGTCGATCTGATCTGATGAGTAATATTCAAATTGGAGAAAAAGAAGCAAAGACGACACGAATGAAAGAATAATAGAGACGATGATGTAATATGCGTTATTAGGAAATAAGAGAAACCAGCCCGCGGAATGTCCTTATTTAGTGCTGTCTTCAAGAACGATTCGCATAATATAGTTTATTATTTGCAATTGCAAATCAATCGGTTATAAATCACTGTATGTTTCTGTCGTTTAATCACCTGAAAGTGCATAAAACTCATAATTTATTATTTGCTACACATTTACAGTCTTGATTTTCAAGGTTTTGTAATTGTAATAATTTACTTATATAAATAAGTAAATAAATAACCGATTAATAAGAAATAAAAGTCTTTAAATTGTATATTTAAAGCAGAAAATGTAAGTTGCTACAGTAATTTGTGGTAGAAGCAAGAAAAAAAAAGTATCGATAACATTAACCGAAGTATTACAGAAACATAAATAATAAACGCTTGGTAGAAATGACGCGGAGCAGTTAACTTATTGCCAACTAGTTTATGTACTCTATTTATACATTCTTTAAAATAAATTTAGAAACTATTAAAGAAAGTGAGTATTGCAAAATCTATTATATTATGCTTCTCCCGCAAAACAGTTGCATTTCTTATTGTTCTGAGAAATCTAATAACATTAATAAAGACTAACGAAGTGAGAGAGAATAAATGTTAATATTTACAGAAAATTTTAAATATTTATTTTTGAAAATTTATGTAAATGAAAATGGAAAGTATAAAGCTATTTTATGACCTATTTATAAAAGAGAATTGTAAGAGATAATTGGAAAGGCAAACATGGAAATAGTATAAAGTCAAGAAGGCTTTATGATTGATATACAATAAACAAGACAATACACAAATATCTTCAAATGGAAACGATAGAAGAATCGAAACGAAAAGAACGGTAGTAGATTGGAATATATCCAAAATAGTGAAAAATAAATTTTATTGTAAATCAGAGTTTCTCAACCTACGGATCGACAAATGACAGCTGTTACCTTGTGTCAAAGTGAGGTGAAAGAACTGTTAGCAATTGGGTCACGGTAATATGTTAGGTCGAAACAATAACTTGACGATTGAAATATGACGATAATAAATGTTTGATAAAAATAGATTTTTAAATAGGAAGATAATAGTTGACTAATTACTAGTTTAATGTTACTAGTTTTGATATAAAGTTCATGATTAATGATGATAAATGTGTGAAGAATTGAAAATTTTACTTAATTAAGTTTACTTTTATTGGATGATGGAAATCAGAAATGGAAGCATTACAGGCGAAATAAGTTAGCTTATTACAAATGATTAATGGTGATAAACGTGTCAAGGAATGGAAGTCTGATTTAATTAAGATGGAAATTAGAAATGGATGAGGTACAGGCAAAATACGTTGGCTTTGGGATTACAATTAAGAATGCTTTGTTATTAGCAAATGTAAATGACTTAATTCAGATATTTGTAACTGGAAAGTATTAAGATATTTTATGGCCTATTTATAAAAGAGAATTGTAAGAGATAATTGGAAAGGCAAACATGGAAATAGTATAAAGTCAAGATGGCTTTATGATTGATATACAATAAACAAGACAATACACAAACATCTCCAAATGGAAACGATAGAAGAATCGAAACAAAAAGAACGGTAGTATATTGGAATATATCCAAAATAGTGAAAAATAAATGTTATTGAAAATCAGAGTTTCTCAACCTACGGATCAACAAATGACAGCTGTTACCTTGTCAAAGTGAGGTGAAAGAACTGTTAGCAATTGGGTCACGGTACAAATATGTTAGGTCGAAACAATAACTTGACGATAATAAATGTTTGATAAAAATAGATTTTTAAATAGGAAGATTATAGTTGACTAATTACTAGTTTAATGTTACTAGTTTTGATATAAAGTTCATGATTAATGATGATAAATGTGCGAAGAATTGAAAATATTACTTAATTAAGTTTACTTTTATTGGATGATGGAAATCAGAAATGGAAGCATTACAGGCGAAATAAGTTAGCTTATTACAAATGATTAATGGTGATAAACGTGTCAAGGAATGGAAGTCTGACTTAATTAAGATGGAAATTAGAAATGGATGAGGTACAGGCAAAATACGTTGGCTTTGGGATTACAATTAAGAATGATTTGTTATTAGCAAATGTTAATGACTTAATTCAGATATTTGTAACTAGATGATATGCATAGAATATACGTATATCTATTCTATATATCTATTCTATTATATTATGCTTCTCCCGCAAAACAGTTGCATTTCTTATTGTTCTGAGAAATCTAATAACATTAATAATGACTAACGAAGTGAGAGAGAATAAATGATAATATTTACAGAAAATTTTAAATATTTATTTTTGAAAATTTATGTAAATGAAAATGGAAAGTATTAAGATATTTTATGGCCTATTTATGAAAGAGAATTATAGGAGATAATTGGAAAGGCAAACATGGAAATAGTATAAAGTCAAGAAGGCTGAAAGATCATTGATGCTTTATGATATATAATAAACAAGACAATATACAAACATCTCCAAATGGATACGATAGAAGAATCGAAACAAAAAGAACGGTAGTAGATTAGAATATATCCAAAATAGTGAAAAATAAATGTTATTGTAAATCAAAGTTTTTCAACCTACGGATCGACAAATGACAGCTGTTACCTTGTGTCAAAGTGAGGTGAAAGAACTGTTAGCAATTGGGTCACGGTACAACTACAAAGAAATATGTTAGGTCGAAACAATAACTTGACGATTGAAATATGACGATAATAAATGTTTGATAAAAATAGATTTTTAAATAGGAAGATAATAGTTGACTGATTACTAGTTTAATGTTACTAGTTTTGATATAAAGTTCATGATTAATGATGATAAATGTGCGAAGAATTGAAAATATTACTTAATTAAGTTTACTTTTATTGGATGATGGAAATCAGAAATGGAAGCATTACAGGCGAAATAAGTTAGCTTATTACAAATGATTAATGGTGATAAATGTGTCAAGAAATGGAAGTCTGACTTAATTAAGATGGAAATTGGAAATGGATGAGGTACAGGCAAAATACGTTTGCTTTGGGATTACAATTATGAATGATTTGTTATTAGCAAATGTTAATGACTTAATTCAAATATTTGTAACTAGATGATGTGTATAGAATATACGTATACTGTTATTAATATTTTTTATCTGTAATTTTCAAAATGATATTGTGATAATATATTGATGGACTGATAAAAAAAAGGTTGTTTGGCAATGGAATTGCAATAAAGAATATTGTTGTGGCAGTTGCTGCGTAAACCAATGTTATTTCTTATAGACATAATAATTCAGATTGTGCTGCTGCATTGTGGGTGGATGATGGTGATGCAGTTTATGGTGCAGCTTATTTTTGGCAAAGGGCGGATTTCCGCGTAAATCCTTTTGTGTCGCATCGAAGTGTCGGGAATCGTCCGAGTCGGTTCGACGTCAAACGGTTGTATGATGATGATGCTACTTGTGTGTGTGTGTACGTGGTCTGGATGTTGGAATGAATGTTTTAAATAACTTTTAATATATAGGTATGCCGTGTATGTTGCGTGTGTCCATGTGTGTGTGTGTATCGAACTGAGTATATCCGCTGCGAATCGCGCACTCCCCAAACAGTCTGCTCGGTGCAGTCCATTAGCAAGCATCATCATCATCATATTCAGATTGAGCAAAATAATAAGCTGGAAAATACCAGGAGACTAGCAAAGATATAAACAAAGTGATTGTAGTTCTGCGATGTCGTCTTACCGTTCGAAACCGGCGCCGTCGTCGCGACGTCGTTCAACCTCTGCTGTGCGGAATACCAGCACCACAAGCACCAGCAGCTACTCAAGACCTAGGTCAATCGGTTACTACACCGGAGCCTCCACAGCACCCTACAGCTCGTACCCCTCGAACACTCCTTACTCAACACCCACGTACTCTTCGCCATATTCATCTACTTCGACCTCCAAGTACACCCCAAGCACCTACTCCAGCAGCACGTACAAAAGTCCTTACTACCCTAACGGATACCATCGTGGCGGCTCCAGCAGCAGCTACTCCGCAAGCCTTACGATACCTGCCAAAGCTTTAGCCACCGTTAATTACGGTGCGAACTATGGGAACGAAGGGCACAGATCGCGGCAAATGTCAAGGAACGGCAGCTTCAACAGCCGAGACAGATCTCAATCCAGATCTCGGTCGCAGAGCGTCGTCAGCGGAATGGGTTCCAGATCGATGAGTCTGACCTCTCTGAATTCAGAAGGATACATCGTAAGAATCGCAAAAATATGACCTTAAACAACATTCCCTCCGTGGCAAACTCAATGCCAACAAACACTTTGCGAATATTAACTATTATTTAATTGAACTTAATTGGAGCAAATTCTGCTTGTTTTAAAAATAACGAAACGCCTTTCACGCCTGTTGAATATTTATTTACAATTGTTGACTGTTTCTATTCACGACTAATAGCTACTAGCATCCGCCATCCAGATGTGGCTTCTTCCCTAATCTCGAATCTCTGAACCAATATATAAATACGTTTTATACACTAACAAGTGTATAAATACACGTGTATTTATTCTGATTAAATAATACGGAAGACCTCGGCTATTTCTATTTGGACGCAAAAAACCTTTTTCATTGTCATCGCGAATCCCGCGTCATTTGTTTTACTTGACCGCCACCACTATTTTTAAACCATCCCATAATCCACGTTCGAACATTAATTTATGTTTGTATTTTTATTTTATGATAAGCGAAGTGTATCACTCTCTGCCAATAATCTTTCTAAATTCAACATGTTTATAGTCTAATACTTGAAAATACTTAGATGATAGATTCTTTTGAACTTCATCTAAATGATGATGGATAATTCTCATTAAAAAAAATCAATTTTTTTTAACAAAAGTACATTATCATTTGAATATATTTAAAAGAAACGTTTAATTTTCTACATTTCTTAAGTGTTTTCGAATGGTTTTTGAGCACGCAACAAAATTGAATGTATGTTTACAGTTTGAATGTCTATGCTAATCGAATTCCATTACCATGAGTTAACTTAAGAAAACATTCACATTTTTTACACTGTTATTGTCAAAGCAATATTTGTTTTGCATTTAGGAATTGGAAAGGTTACTCCATGTTACTTGTGAAGTAATGCAACATCACATTATATTTAATGATAATATAGTGGTATAAATTACTTTAGTTTGTATTAACATACAACTGTCACAATTCATGACAACAAGTTGCCACGTGTCAAAGTTTTATTTGATAGAAATAGTTGATTCTTCAAATTATTATTAACAATGCAATTATTCTTTTAATAGATAATAATGATACAAATGTTAATAATACTTTAATTGTATCTGTTTTTTTAAAATTATTTGGTACGTTTCTATGACAATGACAAATTGGAAAGGAATTGTTGATTCAGTATTATTTGTTTATTGATAACCATGGATACGTATAAACAATCATCTAATGTGTAGTTTGTTACATGCATTTATTACATGCATTGTAGATTAATTGATATTTAATTTTATGTTTTTTTGCAGAGTGGAAATGATAGGTCCAGCAGCCGAGCGTCCAGAATAGGCAGCTCCAACGATCTGATACTTCGCGGCGAGAACGGCGAAATCGACTACAAGAAACTGTACGAGCAGGCGATCGTCGATAACGACAGACTCAAGGACAAATTGAGGAAATCTGATGAGGATCTAAAGGAGACCAAACAGACATTAGAAAAACTGACCACAGTTGTAAGTAGTCCAAATAATTAGTAACACAAATTCACGCTTAAAGTTACTCAATTTATTATAACGTATTTTTGTTGTTGTCATTGTAGACTAGTAAAAATTCGTTATCAGAACTCGAGAAGAGGGAACGAAGGGCGATGGAGAGGAAGCTGAGCGAAATGGAGGAGGAGCTAAAGGTAACATTCGAAGATCAATTCATGCCACCTCTCTCCATATATACATGCATATATTGTTTTCTTTCTATTTATACTTATTTTTGGTTCTTTCACAACACGATCTTTCGTTTGCAGGTTTTTACTTTTTTTTTCCTTTATTATTTTTCCGAGCAACAAACATACATTAGTTTCCAATGTTACTTGCAATAATTAACGGAAACGAATGCAATAATTGCTTGCTCAAACAACGCACACTCGATTACATTATCTTTTGTTTTATTTTTTGAATAATCCACGCACATCTATTTTTATTTATTTTTTTCCTACATATTTTCAGTAACTTTACTCAAGTTACTCGTCTCGTTTTTTTTTGATATAAGGCTGTGACATATTTTTATATTAACAACACACATTAACAAGTAGATTATCTATATATTTTGTACATCTACTTTTTTTGAGTGGTGATTGATTTTTTTTTCTTCTTCCTCAACTTTATTTCTTTCTTTTTTTTCTCTCTAACAATACACACATTTCACAATCGAAATTTCGCGTCATCATTGGCTTCCACCTAATAATCATCATCTTCACGAATTATTATTAATAATCAATAATATCTTTCTTTCATCGATGCATCCGGTGCGATCGCATCGCAACATGTTTTGTATCTCTCGAAAAATATGTGTTGTTTTCTTTTCTAGCAATTGCAAAAATTAAAAGCAGAGAACGAACGTCTGAGGGCCGAAAATCGGGCCTTAACTCGCGTCGTCAGCAAACTAAGCAACTCTGCTGCGAAATAGGTACAAATTTTATGCCGATGTAAAGAACCGTATTTAAAACACACAAAAAAAAACAACAACAACAGCAACGACATCAACAACAAAGTTGATTTTGTTTGTTTGTTTGTTTACGAAACATTGTTGTTAGTTATTTAATTTTCTAATTTTTTTTAATTTTATTTAATCTCACGTTCCCTTCAGACACACTCATTATTATTTGTTTTTTTCTTTGCGTCCACACATTCTTATTTTATTTTAATTTTCTTATTGTTTGTTTGTTTGTTTTATTTTGCTTAATACTTTTTGTTTCTAGCTTTAAACTTCATCTGAAACGTCTCTGTCATTGAACATTGAATGAAAGTTGCCTATTGATTATCTTTATATAATTAATAAATCTGAACTGTCATATACTTATATAACAATATAACCATTAGTTAACTGTCAAAACAATTTAATTATACATTTGAAAATCACTGTTAGTTTTTGAGGAACTCAATAATCATCATTAATGTACAGTTTTTTTAAAATTTATCTTCACTTTTGGTAAATCTAATGACATTTTTTTTACTTTTATAAATAATAATTATATTCTCACAATCTTTAATAATTGACAAATCTGAATAAATGTCATCAGCATGGAATAACATTTTTAAGTGTCAAAGACTAAAGAAAATCTAGTAGATTTATGAAGTTTTTGAAGTACTTTTGTATACTTTCTATTATTTGATATATTTGGTTCACATTTTCATAAAACACTTAAGAGAATTCGGTGCAATTTCAATGGGCAACTTTCATGCAATAACATAGCACCATTAATGTTTGTTGTTAAAGGATATGTTTTACGTTCTCGTCTTCTGGACTAAAACCACTTAACGTCACTTTTAGTTTGTCCTTGGTTTGTTTGATTGTTTGATTTTTTTGTTGCCATTTCTAATTGTATGATGTTCCGCCTTTCTGATAAACTATTTCGTTGAAAGCATGACGTTAACACTTCAAAGATACATGTTGCGTGCTCCAGCTCTTCCGTGGATGTCTTCATAGATGTTAATCCTTCTGGTTCTCTGTTCTTTTAGCAAATGGAAGCGTACAGGAAGGAGAACACCCGGCTGAAGGAGGAGAACGGAGCTCTGATCCGAGTAATTAGCAAATTATCAAAATAACCACTAAAACAGGAAGACGTAGGATAAGAAGACGCCCTCGATGACGACGACGAAGAAGAAGAAAAAGCAGAAGACGACGCAGGCGAGGAGAAGAATAAGAAGAAAATATTTGCATTTTATTTTTCTTTCTTGTTTTCTATTTTTTAAATTACTATTATTTCTTAAATAACGTACACCGACACCTATATATATATATAAAAAAACAATTGCCCTTCCCCCCATATTACACCCTTAAAAACCTCCTTTTCATTCTCTTAACGTAATTCCACAAGATACAAACTAATTTTGCGGATTACTTGAACGTTGATCATTTTTTCCTCTCTTTGTTTGTAATTATCTTTTATCATTATTATTATTGTTATGTTTACGTAATCAATGTCCACCTACCGTCAACTAAGCGAACCTTCCCTCTACCCCCCACAACTACACAAAACACGATTCATATCCCGAAGAAAACAAAAAAATTAAGAGAAGAAGAAAAATACTAAAAAGTATTATATATAATATTTTTGTTTTATTATTATTTATTATTGACTGTTTAATTATTATTATTATTATAATTATATATATAGTTTTCTTTTCTTTGACATGCTTCATGTGATTTAGTAAAGAGAAAGAAAAAGAAACATAACATACATATATAAATATACATACACAATAAAAAAAAAACGGAGATCGGCGAAGAACCGCGACCGCAACGAGAAGAAGAAGTAAAAGAAGAGAACATTGGTTTTTAAATATAGTTTTTAAGTGCTGTTTTATTTAATATATATTATTTGTTATTATTATTACTATTATTATTATTATTTGTTGGACGAAAATGGAAAGAAACGCATCTATCTCTACCGCGCGACATCAGAAACGAAACAAAAGGTTTCTAGTCTTTAGCGATGAAATCCGATCATATTCTTTCTAGTGTATTTTGGACCAAGTTGATTTGTCTGTGTCTGTACGTGAATGCAAATGTTTTGTAATCGAGAGAACGGAAGCATTTTTGTTTTGTTTTTGAATAAAAGAATATAGAGAAGAAAATTAAAAAAAAAACAAATAGTTGGTCATGATGATGATGATAATATACAAACAAATCCAGGTGCTGCTGCCAATAATTAAGAGGAAAACGATTTCTATTTGTCAACGATGTTTATTTTGGTGTCATGACAACAACGTCCACGATATAACAATAAAAAAAAATAAAGCTTTGTTTTTTTTTCCGTTTTTCTTTTTGGAGATATTTTGTACATTATTTTTTTAAATATGTATTTAAATAAACTATACTATTACTACTACTACTATTAATACTGTAAATATAGCTGGTTAGAATTACGACATTACTACTCTTTATTTTTTAACTTCATTCGTTCTGTGTTTATTATTATTATTTCTTTATGTTTCAAATGTTATGTTCACACTCACACACTGTTTCCATCGAACACCAATCTCCCTTCTACACATACGATTTTTTTTTGTTTTTTGTTTTAGTTCAATGATAATTAATTTATCGACCTTTTGTGCCTTGCTTTTTTTCATTATATTTATTATAAGATCATCTTGTAAATTATTTCTCTCTATACATAACGTATATATATGAAAATAATATTATTATTATACATACACATATATAAATATTATATTAAATCTTTATGTCGTGAATTTTGTTATTGAATCGGAAAGAAGGAGACTGAACTGCGAGGCAGAAAGAGTAAGCATTGCGTTTCCCAAATTTTATAAACTTCACTAACACTTAACACTATGCTCGCTCCGAAAAAATAAAAAGCTGTACTTAATGCTGCATTACGAAACGATTTTTATGCTTGATTGTGATTAAATAATAATAAAAAATTGATATAATAATACAATATATTCGGTTTGTTCTCTTGATGTGATACGAAATTTATTTTGTAACTATTGAAAAAAATAATATATATATATTTACATTTATTTATGAAACAAGTACGTTTTCGCTGAATAAAATGTACTGCAAAAAAGCTCATAATTGAAACGAAGGAACTGCCAATTCTTGCTCATTGTGTGTGAAAAGCTCATCTCAACACGTGTACAACATATATACAAAGAAATTCTCTATATAGTGTAAATTAATTTACAAGGATTACTAGATAATTGTAGACTAAATTAAAATTAATTAATATGTTATCATTGTCTAAAGAATTAAATGAATTATCGGTTAACTAAGATTCAAAATTGTTTCAATAAGTTTATATTATTTTGTTTAGCGAAAGTTTATTCTTTTTTGTTTGAGTTTCATTAAATACAATTTTGAAAAAACAAAGTTCGTTCAATCCAATCAATTGTTCTCGATTAGATGAATTCTATTAGATTCATTCGAATTCTATTTATATAATTATAAGATTAACGACGATTTTTATAAGAATGAAAATGATGATCGTGGATATGTGTTAAAATTGGATACTTTTTAATGAGAATTAAATATATATATTCAATTCTCTTTTGTATACATATTATATTGAATTATAAGTAATTAATAAAAGTGTAATGTATAAATTTATTTAATTTAGTTTCCATTTTAACATAAGTTACTTTTTTTGAGAGAGTTTCATTATCAAGCATCGCCTTTATGGTCTGTGCCCTTCACTATCAAAAAAATAAACACAATTAACCAAAACTTATTATGTTAATTTGATTATTAGTTTTCGTCACGGTAATCTTCATTACGTAACTCAGAAACGTCTATTTTCGATGCCTTCAGTTTTTCTTGAAATGCTTAAGAACCGCGTAAGCTATTTAGATCATCGAATACTCAAATTAAAGCTGAAAGTCTCAACTTTCTAACAAGCGCACCGTTCGTCTGCTATGTCATGTCAAAAGCGTTGATGCTGATAAGAACCATAGAACCATTAATTACAGGATAACCACGCAAGATAATTATATAATTAAACAAGAATCGTAACCTAGAGATCGTCACCATTCGAATGAGCAAAAAAATTCTAGCATCGATATTTTAAAATTATTTCAGTATAATAGATAATTTTGATTTTCCTTAATAATTCGAAAGATAATGAACTTTTTCCTTATATAATTCTATATTTTTTCTGTTTTTCCTATTTCTGCTCAATTAATCGAAAGTTATGCAATTAATTATGTAAGAAAAGTTGCATAATGATAATTGCGTAACTGAGGAACGACGATCTTCAACGTCTTCAGTTTTTCTTCAATTGCGTGACAACCGTAATACTCCAATCAGTAGCGCATCATGTCTTTGTGAGGCACTAGACGCAACCTGATTTAGCGGCTCCATATTGACCTTACTAAGAAAATCATAACTTCTTTTTTTGCGATTTGGCGCGCGCCTATGCGGTAACGCGCCATTGGTAGTGCCCATCTTACGCAACCATGAAATACAACAAAATTTATGTAATTTTCGTGTAATTAAGAAAATTTGTAAAAATCGTAGGACGAACCAGCGATTTTGAAGAAAATCCTATTCACTTTTTTTCAATTTTCACAGCTCGTAAAAGGTGACTCGACGACAGCACGAAGATGCCAATAGTTTCGTTGGAAAAGTGAGGTATTCAGCATTAAATTGTGTGGTCGACGATGTAATTATCTTGAAGGGTTGTCGAAAAATTCACGAAAATTAAAAAAAAAGTCTGAAAAAAATGTCTTTTCCCTGTTACGTAACGAACATTACATAACTTTTGTTTCATACAAAGTTGCTTAAGGCTTGCACCCTTTTTACGCAATCATAAAATGCATCAATACTTACGTAATTTTCGTCAGAACTTAACGAAACAGCGATTTTTAAGAAAATTCTATTTACTTTTTTTTGCCAATTTCTACAGCTCGTAGCAGGTGACTTGATTACAGCACGAAGATGCCAATAGTTTCGTTGGAAAAGTGAGGTATTCAGTTTAAAATTGTGTGGTCGACGATGTAATTATCTTGAAGGGTTGTCGAGAAATTCACGAAAATTGAAAAAAAATCTGAAAAATGTCTTTTCCCTGTTACGTAACGAACATTACATAACTTTTGTTTCATACAAAGTTGCGTAAGGGTTGCGCCCATCTTACGCAATCATAAAATGCATCAATACTTACGTAATTTTCGTCAGAACTTAACGAAACAGCGATTTTTAAGAAAATTCTATTTACTTTTTTTTGCCAATTTCTACAGCTCGTAGCAGGTGACTTGATTACAGCACGAAGATGCCAATAGTTTCGTTGGAAAAGTGAAGTATTCAGCTTTAAATTGTATGGTCGATGATGTAATTATCTTAAAATATTGTCGAGAAATTCACGAAAATATGAATCGTTTCCCTGTTACGTAACGAAATATACATAACTTTTGTTTCATACAAAGTTGCGTAAAGCTTGCACCTCTTTTACGCAATCATGAAATGCATCAAAAGTTACGTAATTTTCGTCAGAACTTAACGAAACAGCGATTGTTAAGAAAATTCTATTCACTTTTTTTTTGCCAATTTCTACAGCTCGTAGCAGGCGACTCGACAACAGCACGAAGATGCCAATAGTTTCGTTGGAAAAGTGAAGTTTTCAGCTTTAAATTGTATGGTCGATGATGTAATTATCTTGAAATATTGTCGAGAAATTCACGAAAATATGAATCGTTTCCCTGTTACGTAACGAAATATACATAACTTTTGTTTCATACAAAGTTGCGTAAAGCTTACGCAATCATGAAATGCATCAAAAGTTACGTAATTTTCGTGTAATTAAGATAAAAAAAAACGTGAAAACTTGTTGGATCTCAACAAAACAGCGATTTTGAAAAAAAAAATGCTCGATGGATAGGTGAGGTATTCAGCTTTCAATTCAGTGGTCGATCATGCAATTATCTTAAGAGTTTGTCGAGAAATTCACGTAAGGGTGTTGCCCAGTAGCGTATTATGACTTTGTGAGGCCTGATTTGCTATGCGGTAACGCGTCACTGACTCCAATTAAAGCGGAAAGTGCCACCTTTCCAATAAGCCTACTTACAGCATTTTGCTATCATCCGTTCGTATGCTATATCCTGTCAAATTATCGTTGCTGAAAAAAAACATCTTCACGAAGGATAATTATATAATTTATAATTCAATTAGACCGTTAAAATCGTAGTATGATAGAAAACTTCGATTTTCCTTAATAACACGAAAAAAGTAATGAACTTTTTCATAATCAGCTGAGTGCTCACTTTACGCATTACGCATTATGTAACAAACGTTATGATCCGACGAGTTTTCAGTTTCTTCTCTTTTTTTGATCAAAACTAGTCTTTACCAAATTTTCCCCACATTAAGAAAACTTACTAATTCACCTGACATACAACAAAACCCTTATATATAATTTTTATTTAAAAAAAAGGAAACGATCTTGTACGGCCTCGCCCAGGAATGTAAATAGCCAAAAGGCACCAAATTTGTATACAATAAAGAAAAATCTAAAAATCAATCTCGTTTTTTGAAGATTTTTATTGTTGGCTAAAGAAGACGCAACCGTTTACTCAATACATTGTTTAAGAAAGAATTAGCAAACAAATATTTAAACTGTAGTGAAAAATGTACAGTTTAAAAGTTGGACAATCAAACAAAATATTTGTTTTAAGAAATATTAAAGAATGACTATTTGATGCAGTAAATTATCATAGAGGAAAAAAAAACAGGAAAATATGAGGAATTATAAACAAAAATAAGAATTTCTGAGATTTCGGCTTCTTATATATATATTTTTTTTATTAAATATTTATAGTACACTTAAAAACAGTAGAATAATTAACTTTGAGTTTAACATATGTACTGCTAATAATAATAATAATAATGAATAAACGAAGTAATTGCAAATGCAGCGCAGCCTAAAACTCTTCACCTTCATCAATATTCATCATTTATCTGTTTAAAAATTTCATTTTTTCTCCATCCGCATTCCGTCTTCGTTATATAATAATAATAATAGTAGTAAGTGATAATGATAATATACACAATATATTCACAATTCGCGTCCCCCTCCATTCTTCGCTCCGTTAGCAACAGAACAAAATAATAATATAAAATAGTCAATAAATTAGGTACAACTAAATAACAACATAAAAATACTAGGGTTCCATATACATTTAAAAATCACGTAACAAATCAGTGCATAGAAGAAAAAAAATATGTAGGGAAAAAGAAAACGCTGTTGTCTCTCTGTGTCTTTCTCTCTCTTTTCCATCTCCGGTATTTCCTTCTTCTTTTTTAACGTTTACTGAAGTTCTTGTTTGCTTCTTCCCTTTTTTGCTTTCTTCCTCGTCCAGTTGATGATGCTTCTTAGCTTTTGTAAACGTTTTCCATTTTGTTGTCCATTTACACTTCGCCTTGCATGCAGTGCATCGTGGATTCTTGCGACAGGTCGTCCATAGAATCTGAAAATAAAAATTAATCAATATTAGTAGAAATTAAAGTAAATTGTACATTTATGTAAACTCTATTAGTTATTTTTTTTTATTAATTAATATAGTTTTAATTGAGGAATATTAATTAATATGTGTCAATGTCACTTGTCAACCAAATGTATAAAAAAGAGAATGTCTTAATTTAGATAAAAAAAAAACAAAGTTAAACTGTCACTGTCATTCATAGTGACACTTTAAATCTTATTGAATATACATTAAGTATGTACATTATTATTATAAATATATTTTTTATTTTACTTAGCCCTTCTATAAAAGTTGTTCATTTTTGTATGATTATTACAAAGAGGTTAAGTAGACAAAAATTCAATGACATTTGGATTGTCAAAGGTGACTGTAAGAATTTATAGAAGCGAAAGGTGAAATTTCTTCATTGGGCAAAGCAACTTATCACCAGGTTCTTAAAAGGTCTGGCTCACCATCTGTGATGAACATGGACATTTTCTTAATATATTTGCATTAAATACTAGATTCAGCACTTATTGTAACAGTTTTATAACGTTACATTTATATTACATTTTACGAGTAAAGTGCATTTCTGTAACAGATGTATTAATGCAATAGAAGAATGTTTGTTTCTGAATGAATAGTATATTGGCCATTTTTTGGGGCAAATTTTAATAATAAACTGAAATATTCTTGTAATAGTTTATATTTCAGAAGAAAAGTGTATGTATTTAAGAAGTCGTTAGACGTTAGTTACTAATTTAAAAAATATAACAATATTATGTTTATATAGAGAGAAACCTTTCTTCATAAGTTTTAACAACTTATTTTTCTTAAGTGTATAAAGTGGTAGTCTTAAGATATTTATATATGTAAAGTATGGTTATTTACCTGGTGGACCAAACAGGGAAGGTTTGTTGTTGTTGTTCGCTTGTTGCTGGAACGAATAGGTGAGGTGAAGGTTGATGTGTCTTCCGAATGAGTTTTCATCGCGCGTATTGTGCACTGCAAATAATAATTGAATAAGTTAACAACGTACGAATAATTGATTGTATAAAGATGCATTAAGATTGTTGATTTCGTTCTTACTTTGAGTTTTAACTTTTCCGGTGTGCAAATGCTTCTTCTGGCGGGCGCGCGAGTTCTGGAACCAGACTTGCGTGACTCGCTTGCTGAGGCCCGTGATCTGGGCGATCCTCTCAAGGTCCTGACCGTCCGGATTCGAGTCCAGCTGGAAGTTCGCCTGTAGCACCTGCAATTGTTCCTCTGTAAATGTCGTTCGAACCCGTTTTGCTTTATTTTTGTGATAACCTTCTGCATCACATCCATCTGCAAAACGAAATCAAATCAGAAATAAGTACAATTAGGATTTTGGAGTTTGGTAGATGTGTTGGTTCGTGTGTTTTGTATGTATTTTTGTATGTTATAATTACCGTCTGAGGATGTGGTGCCTCCATCTAGAGTTTCGAGGTAGTGCGCTTTACAGAGTACCCGATCTTCGTGGAGGGCGAATTCCTCGCCGGTGGAGAGCTGACGGTGGCAGGCGGCGCACGCGAAGCAGGCCAAATGGTAGACGTGTTCACGGGCTTTCCTCACCCAATCGCTAGAAGAGATTCCCCTCGAGCAGACGGAGCACTTCGCACCGAAGCTTCTAGAAAAATTACATCTAATTGAAAGAAACAGATGTAGAATTAAAAAAGAGGCTATTATTTGTAGTCCAAATTACATAAACCAAATATCACATTAGAAGAAAAAAACGAGGAGGAAAACCAACAACTCGGAAAGAAAGAGTACCTTTCAAATGTTGTATAATAAGTACAAAATTTAACAATTCTAAGGAGATTTTTTAATGGTTCTAGTATTGAAAATTCACATATGCAGTTATGAAGATGAATTATAAAAGGAATATTTAAACAAATCACAATTTGATCATATTTTTGCACGTTAATGTATTAAAATCAAACTATTTATCCACTTTAACAACGAACATTTTAACAAAAACTATACATATTTGATAGTGTATGACTAACTTATTTTCTTTGTAATTGTTAATACTATACAATATTGTATATTTTTTTTTTAATCGCGGATGAAATTTAAAAAATCTTTATAAAACTGTAATTCTCTTAAGAAGTCATATTCATGAAATATTTGTAAAGTATGCAATATTTCATCTTTGCATGGTTTCGTTTCAATACAATTTATGTTGTTAGTTTGCTTAGATTGCGATCGCGTTTTAGAAAAGTGTAAGTCTCCAAGACCTAGGTGAACTCGAACTGCGTTCGGAATGTCTTTTGTAAGGTGGTGATGATAATCCCACCGATAATAATTGAAAGGGGACCCAATTAATTTGAGGCGCATTTAATGGCTTACAAGGGAATTAAGATATTTTAATTTGTGTTTATCTCCGTGTGGATGCGGAGCGCGTTTATAAAATGTTAATGGTTTTTGTGTGTTTCGGCGAAATTTATCGGTCGAGTTGGAATTGGCTCTGCCTCTATCCTCAGTGCATGTGAATGTGTTTGTGTGTTTGCGTTTGTTTGTGTGTTATGTATGAGGAAATGTAAATGAAGGAAGGCCATAAAACGCCTCCGGAAAATGGTAAAATGTTAATGAAACAATTATCGGGTCCTGAGGTGGCGATATTTCAACGGTGATCCAACGCAGTGGGCAAGGACATGGCATTAAAGTGCATCCAAATTGAAGTTTAATGTTCGGGTGTCGCGCGCGCGCGCCTTATATTAAAAACCGTAGGATTAGCTTCTTTTTCGGAAGAAGGTTATCTCGAGAGAGAGAATGGGAGATAGATAGAGAGAGGAGTCCCTCATTAAAAGATACATCCTCCTGATTGTACCGATGTCTCTATCTCTCTTCCACCTTCGCACAATGCACAGGGAATACGGCTTATTGGTGAGGATGGAAGTAGTAGTTAGTAGCAGTGGTAGTAGTAAGTAGTATGGTGTTGCCACCGGAATCTCTAATCCCACACACTCGACCCGATGTACCCTTGATCTACCTGATCTCCTCTCGGATCCGATGAATATTCAATAATCCGACCCGACGACGACACGTTTTCTGCATTCGACGGAGCACAACTCTGACGAAGAGACAACCATACTCTTTTATCCATCTGAAGACTTGTGTCTTCGTCGTCCTCGTCTTGGATGCTCCGGCTGCTGCTGCTGCTATCGATGGCCCCGATTTCCACAAAGATACATTTAATTGACGCCCCGAAACGCTCTCCATTTGCTCCCCAATAAATTAACCTTTACATGACCATTAATCAAGCCGCATTCCTTATCTCCCTGCGCCTCCAAAGCTGCCACCGAAACAACATCATCCTCCCAAATATATTATTACACCGACGAACTGTATTTGCGACGCGTTTCACCTTTAACGTATTACCAACCAGATTATCTCATTTCCCTTACTTAATTACGCAATTGTATAAATTTTCTTGATAAAGTCACTCATTAATTGAATAAAATGTAGAACACTCATTAATTTAATGCAATCATTTTTTTAAAAAATTCAACTTTTCCTAAAAATAAAATAAATATGATGATTTTTTTTTATTATATATTAAAGTAGGCAATTAATTTGTAACATGTATATCATTGCCGTCAGTGATGTTTGATTACAATTATCAAAATTGAGTTATTTTAAATTGTTATTACTTTAGAAATATTTCTAAGTTCTGTTACCATTTTTTAAGAGAAATGTAAGACATACAAGTAATTATATGTAGAATTATTAAATTTTGTTGTATTGTGAATATTGTACACCAATTGACTTATGGATTTTCAATGCAAAATATGCAGATGTAAAAATAATTTCGTTAATGGGTAAATTATGCGTTTAATATTATCATGTCTAAAATATTTGTTGAAGAAGTTAAACTTCAACTTTGCGTTTCAATCTAACGCCCTTAAACAGCAGAAGTCTTTTGTGTCATGGACAATGCAACATAATCGTCTTATTCGGGATTTTATTAAATTATATCCCAGCCCCTCGGTGGGCAACAACCAAAGTCATAGACTTAAGAGACTCATATATGCATACGGTACAACAACGAGAGGAGAGAAAAAAAAGAGTAGATAAAAGGAGGAGTGTGTGTGAGAGAGAGAGAGAGAGCGAGATGAGGTGGAAGAAAGGAATAAAATATGAAAAGAAGAATACTGTATCGGTGACTTGGCACATCTCGATTTTCCATTTGTCATCGGTGCGAGAGACAGACCAGTGACATCTGACCACCTCATCTCCGGCCAAACGCGCATCGCGTTCCCATCAAAAAATGTGCTGCCCATCATTCCAACGTCCCATAAATCTTCTCCACTCACGGACGCGCACACACACACATGAGTACAATATCATATATAAGTCCTTCTTTTTTTTTAAAGGTTTTCTTTGATTCTTTCTTATGGATACGTGTACAAGTGAAAATAATTTCAATGATAACTGTTTCCCTCGGTTGGTGTTTGTATAGGATGGGAAGAATAAGAATAAGAAGAAGCGCAGAAACGGGTGGTAGTAGTAGCTTATTGATAGGCATCGTGAGATGTAACCGATAAGCTCGATGGTATAAGCCACGGATCCATGTGTCGGTACTTTTGGTGATTGTAACTTGAAGATGATGAGGAGGAGATGCGAGGAGGAAGGAGATGACGGTGTGCATTCTGTGTGCCCGGACCTCCGGTGAAGACGTTTCCAAACATTACGATCGTATATATCGCATTGTGATCCATGTCAAAACATCAAAAGATACTCTCTCTTCCCTTCGGATTTTAGGTCTCATCTCTCGTTTCATTTCTTAACTCTTGAAAGAACAAAGGGCGTGCGCGCATGCATCTCTAATACCAAATTATATAAAAAAAAAATGAAAATTAATAAGAAACTCACTTTGCGTAGTCGGCTTTGCAGTAGACGGCCCTGTCCCTTATGAAGCAGGACGGTTGTCGGTCCAGCTGCAGCTGACAGACGCAGCATCTTAGACACCTCGCGTGCCAATTGCTGCCGGACACCTCCAGCAGGAACTTGTCGCTGATCGGCTCGCCGCAGGCCGAACACAGCCGGAACTCCGTCTGCGAAAAGAAAGAAATTTTGGTCATGAGGATGGATGAGAGTGGAGAAGGCAGAGTTCAAACGACGAAATTACAAAAGCGATACGACAGTTAAATAATACCATCCGATCGCTATCGGATTCGTTGGATGATGATGATGATGATGAATCGATGGATGATACAGTTGTAATTGAGTTTGGGAACCTCTGATTTAGACAATAACAAGAACTGTGTGAGATGAGCGTGTCCAAATCTTAAGTCTGGTTAAAAAAATGTAATTAGTTGCGTTTTAATACTATATAAATAGATAGGAGAGAAGCGTGCATTTCGGGTCGGTTCAAGCACAAAGATCGTAGAACAATGACGGCGCGATCACGAATT